TAATCGCTGAAGTCAGAGTAGGCTCAAAATGGTTATCTCCTCATTAACATGACGGGAATATGTGGCAAGTTTTAAGAAAATAGAGACATGGTGCAACTTTGTGTGTGAAGAACTCTCGTCCTAAACAGAGATAAACAGAATTACAACAAGGCCTAGTGGAACTTGTCTCATGGTTCGTGCCCCCCCCCCCCCCCCCCCCCAAAAACAAACATATGAAGTAAAGCTAGCGGCAGGCGCTACTAACGTAACTTCTTTTGCATAGCTGCGGGAATTCAATCAGGTCAAGTTTCTAACCTGGTCAAGGCCCAGCCAGAACATGGCCTGCTCACGGATCATCTGTATATCCGGATTTGAACGTGTACACAGTGGGTAGTCTTCAGCCACTAGGGTGGAAGCGTCCAAGGCGTGCGCACAGCTTGGCGCGCGGCACGTAGATAAGCCATGCTGTAAACACTCCTCGCCCGATGTTTCTCCGCAGGGGCATGGCAATGTGCTGATCACTTCGACCTGCAGGCCCCACTTCCGTACCACTGTGAGCACGATTGCCCGGACTTCATCCAGCGTAGACTTTCCGCTACCGCCGTGTCGGCCCTTGCACTCGACGTACACTTGTAAGCCGTAGCGTGTATAGTGCAGGTGCAGCCACGGCCAATCTCTGTTCCAGCGAAGGCGAACGCTGCACCGTGACAGTGTGGCAGCCGAGCGCTTGTGTGACTTAAGCAGCACCTCCACCACGCATTGCCAATACAGGAACACGGGAAAGTGCATCAACTCATCTCGGTTTGTGTGCTTCAAGGACACATAGGCACAGGAACAAGGCGTTTGCGGGTCCGTGCCCATCTCCAGGACGACTGCAGGTACAATAAACTCATGCTCAGCAGACCTCTCATCCTGCACAATTACCAGGACTGAGAGCCATTCTAGGATTTCAAAAATGAGCTTGAACCCATCACTGCTTGCTCTGACTGCTTGCCACGCCTTAGCATGGTCGCAGTAAGACTGACCCTCGAACATCTTGTTGAGAGCTTTGCGTGCCAGGGACTCCGTCATGAACCCAGAACGATAGCACCGCGCTTCGTGCACTGTGATGTCTCGGTCAGGCTTCATGTAGACAAAGGCATTGACACAGTCCAGGATGAACTGGGGCTCCAGGATGACCGTGTATTTCAGCTTGAAAGTTGGGAAGTACGCCAGGTGGCCTGCTTCGTGGCAGTACTTCAGCAGCAGCTGTATTTGCCGGTCACTGCAGTCATGTGGAACAGCCTTGACTTGCTTCGCTATGAACTTTGCCTCCTTGAAGGAAATCCAAGGCCAAGTGACCTCCTGCTTGAGCGTGTGTATGGATATGCAGAATCGGAGCCATGGAACAGGGATGTTACGTTGGCTCTTCTGGCAGCGGTCGATGATGGCCTCTCTCAATCGCTGCAGCTCATCTGCTTGTCCTGCACTTCCAGTGGATCTGGTGTTGTCGATTTTGAAGTGCGAAGTGTCGTTCCAGACAAGGTTCTGGTACCGCGTACCTTTTATCTTCTCTTGAAGTAGCTTACAAGGATCAGGCAAATCGGTTTTGTTCCACCTGTCACTCTGACACCCCACTACAAACACATCATCTGCAGCACTCTGGTCTGTGCTGCTGTCAGCTTTCGCATTCAGCAGCAGCATGTCGAGCCAGCCAAGCAGCTGGTCTAGGCGAGTCGCATTGGCCGGTAGAGTGGCCCGCTCGATACATTCTTCCCGGCTGACCTGAAATTCATCGAACTTGGGAAGGGTCTCTAGAAGATCCAGAGAAGAGTTGTATGTGGCAATGAAGGCTGTGTTTTTGGCCATGAAGAGGGGCTGTACGGATTGGTAGACTTGCTGCCCTCCAAGGTCGCGGAATGTGATGACGGTATAGTTGGGCGTGTTGGCCCGGTCAGAGATGTACTTTACCCGGTCTGCGTTGAGAAATCCTGTGATGGTCTCGTGGATTTCCTCGCGCATTGCTGGCCCGTTGCTGCTGCTGCTTCTGCTGCTGCTACTGCTGTCCTCCATAGGTCCTGCATGGGTCTCAGCCACAGGATCCTCTCCTGCTGGGGCTCTCTCTCTGTCATCTTGTGTTGTCTCTTTGTCTTGGGGATGATTCGAAGTGGATGGTTTGCACATCATGGTGATGACGTAGAGTCGACTCAGAGCATCTGGCATGTCTGGGCATTCGATGAATCGACAGTCATCAGAGATGTTTGTAGTTGCGTAGGACGTGCGCATGCCGGGTGTGCTGAGTTCATTCTCATTGTGCATCTTCTCAAGCAACGCCTTCAGCAAGCTGGTCTTTCCAACGCGTGCCGCTCCAAGTATGACCACGTGCAGGAAATGGATGACGGTCGTACCGCCCAACCGGGCTGCCTCCTGCTCTGCTGCTTCGAGTTCACTGATACTTGGCAGAACAGCAGTATCTCCTGGGCACAACGATAAACACAGCACACATCAAAAATGTTGTGTAACTGCAGGTGACATTTACAAGGGCGGATCCAGAGATCTCTACAGGGGGGTTCCGGTTGAACCAAAATTGAACAGCCAAAATATTAGGGCTGAAACGAATGCTCAATGAAGCGAACGAATATTCTTTTTCCGAATACATGCGAAACGAAGAATATTCCGAATATTCTAAACCGTGCAATTTCCATGGATACCTAGTTTTATCCATGGTAACCATAGACCATTAATTGGCATACACCCCAATTACAAGAGAGACATTTGAAAAATCATGTGTCTTGCTGATTATAGCACATCGAAAAAGGCAAGCCTACTTATATTTTGCACCAAATAACTCTGATCGATGTCAAAAAGGCGAGTTTCTGTACATTTACGAATATTCCTATTCTACTTTAACGAAGATTATTCTTTTTCCGCTTTGCATATTTCGAATATTCGAATAATTCGAATATTCCTTTCAGCCCTACAAAATATTATGGAATCAGACTGTTTTGAAGTTGTGCGGTTGACACTAAGTTGTAATTACGACAATCCGATTGTGTTAGTGGCAATCGCATGCTTTTAAAACACACTACGGACATACTTAGTACCGTAAAGTACCGCCAGAGCACCCCGTCTACCACAAACCGCTGGAAACTGAGTCGGAGCGCAGTTGTGGTGCGGTGGACGATGGAAAACCTGTACAGGGCCAAATGCTGCTGCTTACCCTACATTGTATATTTTTTAGTACGGACACATAATCATATACATGTATGCAATCGACTGGCACACCGGTTCAGTGAGGGCTTGAAGACCCTTTCAACTTCTTGTAAAGATCGAATATGCAAGCCATGGGTACGTTGAGAGCCAGGAATGCCGAAATGACAACTATAAGTTACTTTCCCTGTCCATTTGTACTTTCGGAAATTTTTGGCATTTTACGATGCGAAATGCTCTATAGTCACAGGACAAGAGCATCGTCTTCACTTCAGTGACAGAAACAACAACAGCGAAACAGTGTCGACAATAATTATTGTACAATCCTTTCAATGTCATCTAAAACACATCGCTGGCGCAGCACTCCGTTCCTGCGGAGGAACAACTAGTCACTACTGCATGCTGCAGCAGGTAGAGATTACTGACTTTGCTTGGATGTCGGAGCCCTCATCTTCTGAGGAGCTTGAACTCTACGTGTACGGTTCGAAGATCGTTGAAGAGTTTCAGTACTCGGAACATCTTTTCTCTTCTGCAAAAAACTTGTCCAAGGAATACTGACCACACCACACCCATCCCGAGCAGCAGTGAATGACAGCGCCAATGGAGGCAAGTAATTAGTTTGGATCGTTTCGAAAGATCAAAAAGGAAACAGCCACCCAATGTTGTCTACACAACAGTGTCCGTTTGTAAATCACGGACGTGAACACCAGTACAGACTACTATCCGTACAGACTGTCAGTATCGATCTACCGCACGCGCTCCTTGACTCAGTGACTGCACTGACTGTGAATCTGATCGGACGGACGTCCTTTTGTGCACAATGATATTTTTCGATATTTCTCAGCCGCACACTTTGCAAAATTTAGGGGGTTCCATGGAACCCCCGGAACCCCCGGAAC